GACGTCAGTGCCTACAACTTCTGTATAAAAAAATTTTCGCTGGCGTCAATATTTAATTAATTAATAAAATTGTTTATTGAAAAAACGTTTTCTTCGTCCAAGTGAAAAATGTTTCAGACGATAGTTATAGCTCCAGCTGCCAGATACAATAGAGTTAATTATTAGTACACTTTTTGACAGAGTGAACCTACTGTTCTTTCTTATACTGTCATTGTTATGCAACGGGCACGTGTATCACGGTTTAGGATCTCGTTAATCGGGCCCATAAACGTCGCCGCTCATTTCCTCGTTCATATCGCGGCCGTCCTAACGAAGTAGGTCGACATTGTGATTTCGCAAAAAGTTATTAGCCGATCGGAGGGGGAGGGGAGGCTGTTCGCCGCGGACGTGAGTTTATGAAAGGCTTTTTTCACGAGCTGGAACTGGAACGGCCACGGTTTCCACGGTGCAACGGTAACGTTTGTCACGTTCGTTTCAGTATGAACGTTAACGAACGCTGGAACCAAGCCTGACACAAATGCCATCGCTTGCGTGTCCTCGAGAAAGCGAAAATTACTTGAAAATTAGTCTCCATTTCTCACGATACATTTCATTTCACGTTCATGGTTTCAGATATTCATTAAATCGAACCTGATTATCGTACTCAATGTTCATTCATTCATAAAAGCAATTCATTCATCTGTGATCTAAACCCAGATACTTTCTATTAGGTCAGTTCATTCATAGAGATGATTGCAGCCACGGATTATGTTTGATTAAAAAGATATGGAGATTGATTCGTTTGTAAAAATCAAATATCTTTAGGAGGAAATTTTTTTTTTTGTTACAGGTTGGTTCTCGGTGGTGTCGAGCAACAGCGGTGCCGGAAGCGCCCGGGTGTATCGCAGAGTCGGCGCGCTGGTCCGAGCGGGTGTCCCGGCGTTTCTGCTCGCCAAGCCCCTGCGAGCTTACACGCTGACACACTCCAAGATGGGTGAGTTTCGGTAGTTTAACCAGCGATCCGCCGCGCCGCCGCCGGTGTACAGTTACTTCGTAAATTACGTGTAATTGCACGGTTCTCGGAGCTTATCCGTTCGCTCATTAAACTCGTAACGCGGTTGGGAGAAATTACACGTGAGAAGCTCGACGATAATACAATATGCATAATGATCTGTTACGACGTGTGCGTCGGTAATACTCGCTCGTTTATAATATCGTGGGCGTTTTAAATACCGTGATCGCGTGTACCATTTTACGAGTTCTCGAAATAGACACCGGTTTTACAGCGTTTCAAATACATAAACTACTTTGTTAGTCGTTCTAATAAGAAAGCGTCGATAACGGGTCGATAGTTTGAATGCAAACGTTTGATACTCCAGCACATCAGACGATTGAAATTTTGTTTCGATTCAACCGTGGAAAGATGAAGGGTCGAAATTCGCGACAGTCGATCGGAGCGACGAGGAGCGACCGTCTCACCGGTGAATCGTTCGGTCGCCTGTGACGCGAGGTACGAGCATGAAACGTTGTCTCCGTCGAGACCCTCGTCTAGGACGTGACAAGGCGTCGGGAGTGCGTGCGTGCGTGCGCGCGCGCGCGTGCACTCACGCAGAGAGAACCCCGGGATTATTCCCTTGGGTGCAGCGACTGGCCGTGACACGAATGTCAATGTGTCTGTGTTAATGCGACTGGGCTGTTCGTGCGTTTAAAAACGTAGGCGAGAGGGGCACGTAATTTAATAGGCACGCGGCCCGGTGAAAGCCGCCGGGGTTTCTTGCGATACACACATAAGGGGGCCCCTCTCGCCATTATGCGCCATAACGATTATGGTCGCGCGTGCGAAAGGGGTTCCTGTAAGCGGTTCTCCATCGCCTAGCCCAACCGGGATCGCGTGCCTCCGCTTGGGATAAAAGCCTCCGACTCTCTTACGCTGCGAAATTAAATTCGCATTATCATATTAGTTTGCGTGCCGTAACCGGACTCGCCACGTCGCACCTGTGGCGAACTCCACATTTCCCATCTCTCCGAACTTGGATCAGAATTTGGAGAATAGTTACCTTAGCATTTCCATACTAAATGCATCGCGATTTAATTTGTAAACGACGATATAATGTAAAAATAATTTACAGGGAAATTGCACTGTGATTTTCAGAGAACGGTAACCTGAGGGCTCACTATACAAAGACTACGGTCCGAGCCGGAGAAGTTCTCCGGCTGGCCGCGGTCTTCCAGGACACGCGGAGGGCACCGGTCTCCAGCGGAATTTCCGGTGTCGTTAGCGGTGCACCGGAGGGCAAGAGTTCAAGGTCGTCGGAACGAGATCAGTACGCTCAGTGTTTAGATTCCCACGGCCACGAACTGTTTGCGCCGCTTTCCGCGAGAGGAGAGTTCTACGCGACTTGCCAGAGCGGTAGCCTCGACACCGGAAGCGATGCTGTACTCTACAGGGTGCATCAGCTCGCCAGAAGGGACCTCCCTCTCAGGGTAAGTCCTTCCTTTTTCATTATCATAATCGCTTCTTTTATGGTAATAGACAATAAATCAATGAATTTCAAATTGAAGATCGATAAACTATGCATAAGGCGTTCGTGAGCCGGATTCACGATTGAAACGATTATGACATTTATTAGATACACAAATGAATTCATACCGTTTCCCATAAATTTATTCATACGCCTAATAAATTCATAATCTGAATAAATGATCGGCTCGAACTTCGACGTTTATGGCTTGGAAATTCTTGTTGGTAGGTACGACTGGTGGCTGGCCCGTTACCAATACCACTGCCGCGAGACTACAGCGGTTTAATGCAGTTAGAATGTGCGACGAGGGGTGCTATAGTGTTAGGGTGCGCGGTACCTCTGATGCCGGAGAGGCCTTTACCAAATTCGGCGGTCCCGGAACTGCTGGAGTTGGTCGCGACGGGACCTACGGCGCCTCGAGTGAAAAGGGCGCGTTTGGGGTGTCCCTCCGAGGCACGGTTACTCGCGTCGCCGAAGATGCAACGATTACTTTCAGCTTGCAGGTAAGAATCAATGAGATCTTTATGAAAGATTTTAAAATGTTTGGCAATCTAATAATGCTTGCTCGTTCACCCTGTATAATTTATTTAATAGCAGAAGTAAGGAAATAGAGAAACATACATTCTTTCTATTATTCGAATCTAAACGACCATGAATCTTTTTGAAATTTCAGGAGAGCCCTGGACCAGAGAGCAACGGAGCCCCGCGTGGCACCTCCGAAACCCCAGCCTATCAGTGGTCAACTGAAAGAATTGCATCTGAAAGAAATCAAATCGAAACCAGAAGCGAAGCCGATCCTCCAGAGTCTGAAGGAAGGTTTGGAGCATATAAAACGAACGACGATCAGGGACCGTAGTAACAGTCGATCAAGCAGTAACAATCACAGCTTCTTGGACCGAATCTCGAGGATAGCGCAAGGCGGCAGGAGCCGAAACCCAGCAAAGAAGTCGGCTTCGTTTACGTTCGCCGTTCGCCCGGAAATCGGGATGAGGTCCGAGAGATACGCGAGTCTCGAGTCCGAAACGAATCTTCTGCAGGCGGCCCAGTCCTCCAGGCAGCAGGTGCAGAGATCAGTCTCGACCAGCGTGTTGGAAGTTCAGACGCACCAGGACTTGGACCCACCGTATTCGAAGGTCAGAGACAGTTTGACGCCTTTGCCACCGACTCCGCCGTTGAAAATGGAGGAGATTTATGCAGAGATCTGCGAGACGAACGCCAGCTGCCTCGACGAGAAGCCGCCCCCTCCAGGAAACAACGGGACCAGGGAGAAGGACAGAGGTTACGTACAATTAGCGCTGTCGCATTCTGAGATTTCTGTCGTGAACGGCGAAGAGGAGGAGGGGATTTATAATACCGTTTGCTGATCGTGAGTTCTGAGATAGAGAGAAAATTCGATACGCGCGAAAGGGAACGTGACGAGTATTCCGAGTCCTGATTCTAGGCTGCTCGAAGTAATAGCGACTGTTTTTGCACCGAGTTAATATTTCACAGTATTAAAAGACGGTAGGTATAAATATTTAAATCCTGTGTAATTGCTAAACCGTTGTGAAAAAAAAGATACAGTCAGATTTACGTCTCTGAAAATACTTGACAATCCAATGTGCGGAACACCCACCACGTTCGAGCAATTCCATAATCAATTCGCCGGAACGAGCGATACACTAATTATGTCGAGCAGCTTGAATCACGATCCGTGACAAATCGCCGCGGTGGTGGTGGTGCTGCTCTCGGCACATCGCGGAATGATGCTGGGAGACTCATTAACGCGAGCGAGCATCGAGAGTCGTTGCGTCGTTCGTCGGAGGACGCGGGGTATGAGATAACGTGCGACTTCCTGGCTCGGTTGGAAACGGCGCGGCGTTACAGCGCCGTTTGCCCGAAGAAATTATCCTCCCGGTGTCTTTTTCCTTTTTCGAGAAGCGGCGCGGCGCGTCCTCCACCGGGGCGGAGAGATTTACAAGGCTGTTGACCGGGGAAAATGATCGCGTAATCGCCGTAATTGCGGCCCCGTGCGTGCCGCAGCGGATGTAGCGGACCCCGCCGGGACTTCCGGTACCACCGCAATCTGCGCCACGCACGATCGATATTATTAGAAACGACCCCGTCGAGTCGAGTCGTCCTTTAACTCGTTCCATAAATAATACAACTGCCTCTTACCCTCCTCTGTCTTTTATTCGTTTAGAAAACAGTCTACTATTTATAAAAAGAAAAAAAGCCACCTGGAAATGATAAGAACGGTATTGGACGACTCGACGATTCGTCTTGATAGCTTAAGAAGTTGGACGTGTCGATTGATCGAGGAATGAGTAATGGATAAATGATTTTGTATAAGATATAGTTCCTTCCTCCGTTTGTGCATAAATATCTTCAAATGAAATTGTGGATTCTGTATAAGAGAGTGTTGAATATTTTTTGCCTTGTACAGTTGTTTGTAACGGCGAACGTTTTGTACATTTGTCGATGCGTGCCGAATTTGTAATTTTCTTACTGTATAATATTTTGAAATATACCGATTCGCTGACGCGTGATACTTATTTTATTCCCAGATGAGAGACAAACACCGTGGAGCCGAGTATAGAATGTAATGGCATGGTTGATCAAAACAGCAGTTCTTTTTTTTTTTTGCGAAATCCAGACTTAACTTACGTGTCATTAGGCTTTCACTTTTATTACAATAGAAAACGTCACGGTTGTTGATTTATGGTACCTGCATCCAACCAAGATAAACCATTCAAGTCCTGGTCTATTGCGTCAAGAGAAAAAGGAGCTATTTATTACGCTTGAAAATAACATTTTCTTTACTGAATTCAGAGCAATATCATTTTAAAAACTCTTCGACCCGATCACAAAATAATATAACATTCGTATTTATTTTTTTAAAACGTAAGGATCAATTTTGCACAAGAAGCATTCAGATTGACAAACGAGCCATAGAGTTCCAGGAAGAAAAAATTAGTTTAGGCGATCGAAATCGTGAAGAGCGGTCGATGATTCCACTCGTATAGCGATTAATCTATTGACTCTTTACCCGCACGGTTGCTGGTATTTTCGTTTGTCAAACAGAGCAACCGAGCGAAGATTCGCAGCACTCGCGTGACCGATCGTTCACGTTTAAAACGTGTGATTACGCGCGTCGAAAAACGCTTCGAAGAAACTGAAAAGCCGCGTTCCAAGCCAGCACGGATTCGAAGAGAAGGACTATTAGTCATGTTCAAGATCAGAACGAATCATTCCTTATACATGGAAGATCTCAACAAAAGTCTGGATCAATGAACATGGATCACGACACTTTAAAAATATTTTCATAATCATTAAAAATAAAAGAGATCTTTTTCAATTGAATTTTGTATGACACGCGAAATGATTAGACGAAGAAGAACTGGCGAAAGAAATTGAACGGAGGGCAGAGTGAAGGGGCATCATTACGGTTTCATCCCGTGGGTTGGCGCAGCCGGTTCACCCACGATCAAGAAAATTGAAAACGCAGAGATAAACACGCGCGGCCGGGCTCTGACTTTGAGGAATAATAACGCGAAACGATCGTCAGCGGGTATAGGTCATTAATGTTTTACGAGCACGTAGCGCGCGGCGGGCGCAGCTGCGTCTGTTCAATTACAACTAACAGGGTGAGCCCACGAATTGCCTCTACATCCGTCCATCTCCCAGCCGGATTCCACCTTCCACGGCTCGCGCAGCGCTCCAGCCGTCCGTGCCCATTAATATTAACGGCTCGGAACAACGCTAATAGTGAACAACTATAGGGAACCCGGTGAGGTGTTTTCCGAGACCATACCGACTGCAACTCGCAGCTCTATGAAACGAATCGATATAGCCGGGAATCAAAAGTCTATCCCAGTGTGCTACTTATTTCAAATATTCAACGTCTTTAATACGCCTTAATGTAAAAAATTATTCCATATCACAATTAATTAAACTCTGTTAACATAAATATAATCATTAACCATCATCTCAATTACAGTTCTAGTCATATATCTACCTCATTTCTTTTTTACAACAATTAACACTCGGCCTTCAATCAATTCACTCATTACGAAACATATTTCTAATTACTTAGAGAGGGCAATCGGAGAAACAATTCAATCGTTGGGATCGTTAATAGGAGAACGAGACAACGGCACCGGACATGAGTACACGGGCTTAATCACCATTCGATGCAAATACCACTCGAGTTAAACTCGCATACGTCGGATACTGGCTGAATACCGTTCGTCATCGAGCTCGATACCATCGCCGATTTGTTGTTTAGCGGGAAACAGAACGACTCTCGTCGAAGATACCATCTAATTAAAAGGCAAAGACCACGAGCTAATTAAAACGAGCAAAAATCTTCCCATTATTCCCTCGTGTCATGAAACCGGCCAGTTTCCTGCTATTTAATTTTACACTCCACGTTTTATCGTTCGAAATCAGGCATAAACCTCGCTGATTATCCGATTTTATATGCAGAAGACGTAGTCGAAAAAATTCATTTAATTATTCTTTTATCAAGTAGTTAACGTAAAATTTTGTATCCTTTTAATTAAACGATTACAGTTGCATAAAGAATATCCTTATCAATTCTGAAATCGATGAGAACACGAGGCTGACGGTCTGATTACGATATTCAGAAAAAGTTGCATCGACTCGAATTTGATTGACACAAAGGGTTGACGTCTCGTTGAAACAATGGAATTGCAAAGACGACTGACTGTCCGGGCCCGGTAATCTTGGTTAACGGGTGCATATTTCAAGATCGGCATGCGTGAACGATCTCATGGCCGTCGGGTTGCCTCGCAGCCGTGTAACTCACCTTTACAACGTTAATGCGACGGCCGCGGAGCCTATCATGTTTCGCGCGGTACCCTGCTCGGACCCCTGATCGACGAGCCGTGTTTTAATATGCAAATCAAAATGCAAATATGCTCCCACCCTCGTCCAGATTTGATCTAAGTCCGCCTAATCGTCATCCCTCACGCTGGAACAGTTTCAGACCCCTGGGGACTCCATCCTCTTTTCGTAAATCCTGCCTAAGCACTGTTTTAACGCTCCACCGAAAAGGAAGAAGAAAATTAGAAGCGGGCTAACAGATTTTTCGTCAGATAACTGGACCGCAGATTCGAGTAAAAATGTCTTTCAATCTTTTAAACAAGATGTGCATTTTACTATTGACACTATTATGCAATTTTATGTGTTATACGTATTTTAAATATTTTTTCCATGCTACTTTACTGATAATTTAGCGATTCGAGACTGAAAGCTCGTAAAATTTCGCTCAGCCTAGATTCCTCAGCGATCCGTGAAATGTCGAGGACGGTAGTAAAGTTACTTTCAGCGCTCATCGACAGTCATCGAACGACGGCGGCGGTTCGTTACACAGAGGGACAATATTATTATCATTGCTTTCTCCCGTTTAGCGTATTCAGGTTACATTCATTATGTCCTCGGATATAAAGTGGAACACTTTCTTTCGAAATTCGGAGATGCCATAGAATAGAGAACACTAAAATTACAAAAGGACGCTCTGATATTTTTTATAAGGGTAGAAGCACAAAGAGTCATTGTAACGAAGGGTTTAGTGTTACACTATCTGGCCGGGATGAATAGGAAGAATTGAAAGGGATTTCTCCTTTGTACTGTGACCCAGAAACTTTCTTTGGGGAGATTTGGAGCACATGGGTCAACAAACTTATTTCAATAGTATCATCCATAAATTCCATAGGTGCATTTAAGGGTTCTAGATTTTATAGATTATCTACACAATCGTATTCAGTGGGTTTAACGAGTTTATAAAAACTAGTCTACCTATGTAATCATTAATAATCTAATCGCATGGTAAGATAAATTAATTCAGATGTAAGGTTCGATAAAATGTTGTAGATGAAGAATTATAAGGGGGAACATGTGTCAGGACGTTTCTTTTACTTTCGTTGTTGGTCGAAAAATACTGGAGATGAATATCAACGAGTGGTGGAACGTGCACGGGTTTAGACGCGCGTTATCTCATACGGCATAATCGCACTCGGTGAAACTGTGTCACGTTTGAGTCCTTCCAGTAAAATTTCTAACTCCCTTCTGGCGTCAGATTCGATTGAGTAATTTATGTACGTCGTTAAACCGTACAAATTTCTTCTGAACGCAGTGTGGATTAGAATCGTAAGTGGAAATAGGAATTTACATGCGGCGCGGTGGAAATGCGTGGGAAACGTACGGCACGTATCAAATAACGAGCATTTACATGTGTTCGCGTACGTGAGATAAGAAAAGGATTAGACTAAAACCTCGACGGATGTAACGATCGAATTATTTTTCCCTTTGAAGAAAAAATGTATAGCAGCCGAGTTGCAGCCGGGAGAGTTAAATCGCCATTCATCCCGGATATCATAAATAAAATTTCATTGAAATCGCGTCCGAACAAAAGTCTAAACGACCCGGGGAGAAGCAGCGGCGCGTGTGAAAGGAAACTCTGATTCCACCCCTTCTTTATCTTCGTTCAGAGGCGATTCCAAAGGCCATCCGAAGGCAGCCGGTTCGATTCATCGTTCGCGGTGGAGAGAGAGAGAGAGAGAAAAAAAATCGACGCCCGATTCGTAGATTGCGCGTCTCAAGGCGACCCTGCAACTTACAATCGCGCGACTCGCTCGTACGCTGTGAGCCAAGATGAATCCCCTCGCGTAATGTCTTCATTGAGCCAGCCTCCTATCATAATCTCGCTATGACGAACGGCCGCTCTTTATTGCGCGAACGCAGAATAGAACGAGATTAAACGAACCAGTCATCAATAGCTGGTACACCTCCGTTCACAAGTTTCTCTGCCGAAAAGTCGAACAAATATGCTGCGCCACCTTAATTAAGAAGTTAGAAGCAAAATCGTACAATAAATTGTGAATAATTTCGATAGAATTCATTAGAATATTCATTCGATCGATCGTCCAAGAAATCGTAAACGAGCTCTTATTTAAAAAATCAGGAATCCTCGTGTTTTATAATACGTATTGAGACTTGTGAAGAGGGGTGTACCTACTCGGTGTCGGAGGGAAAAAAGGGGACCGGCGCGACGGTGACGAGACGACTCAATTAGTCGCGTTCTTACCCGTTCAATCTGTCACGAGCGTGCACCGCGAAACTCTTCTTCGTTTTCTTTCAGTTGCAGGATCAAGTGCCGCCGGCGCGATTCGCACCGGTGACAAATAACGCGTCGTCCACCGACCTCGAATCTCGAAATCTACTGTGCGCAACCCTTTTTCTTGTTACACCGTAATTATTAATTCCCCGAGGCTTCCCAGGGGTCCATTTTTTATTTCCTCGCGCAGACAGACGTTAATAAAGGAATCCAATGATTCCTTTGATTAAAAATTCTTTCTGCATTGACAAATAGAAATTACGCATGGATCGTTATTAGTATTTGAAACCAATTTCATTAAGAATTGTTTCTCCATTAGTGAACAGCAAATTCCTTTAGTAAAAACAGATCGTATCGATAATTAACTGAACCATTAATATTGGTCGAGACGAATCCGTTTG